GGAAGCCACAAAAGCTCAATCGACGACAAGCACGATGGATCACAGAATTAGCAGAATTCGATTTCACCTTACGACACCGGCCCGGCGCACTCAACCGCAAGGCGGATCTCTTATCTCGACGAGCGGATCACGATCAGGGCAAGAACGACAACAAGGATGTCACTCTGCTGAAACCCGAATTCTTCCGGTCACAAGAAGTCACATTCGAGGGGCAAGATCAGCAGCTAATCGATGAGATCAAGGCTACTCGATCAATTGATGGAAGCGTCAAAGCGGCCTTGGAGAAGTCACTCGTCGGATGGAAAAAGGAAGATGGGCTCATCACGTACCATGGGAAGCTCTACGTGCCGAGGAATGAGGAGCTACGAGACAAGATCATCGGACTACACCACGACACACCTTTGGTCGGACACGCTGGGATCAACCGAACGCAGGAGATGGTGGAAAGGAACTACTGGTGGCCAAGGATGGGAAACCAAATTCGGAAATACATCCAGACGTGCGAGGCGTGCCAGCGGACCAAGACCAGAAGAGCCAGGACAGGGAGTTTGCACCCGCATGCAGTTCCAAACGCGCCGTGGGAAATCATCTCCATGGATCAGATCGGACCCCTGCCGGTCAGTAACGGGTATGACGCAATTCATGTGTGGTGTGACACCTTCACCAAAATGATCCATGTCGAACCAATTAGTACTGACATCAGCAGCGAAGGAGTAGCACGGTTAACCAGGGACCGAATCTTCCGCTATCACGGGGTCCCCCGCAAAATCATCACCGACAGGGACTCTCGATACATCAAGGGCTTTATGAAGGAGACGAATCGGATGTTGGGCGTGGAAATGAATCCGGGGACCGCATATCACCCCATCACGGATGGGCAGACGGAGCGTATGAATCAGGAGATCGAACACTATCTCCGCATTTACGTCAACTACCATCAGACGGACTGGTCGGAGTGGCTGGGAATGGCGGAGTTCGCATACAACGACAAAATGAACACGTCTACCAAAATGTCGCCGTTCTATGCTAATCACGGATACCACCCATGGAAGGGAGTAGAGCAGCGGATGGAATCAAGGAACGAGTCGGCGGAGGAATTTGTAAAAAGAATCAAAGAAATACAAGACGAAGCAAAAGCAGCATTGGAAAAAGCAAAAGAAAAAATGAAAAAATACTACGATAAACAAAGAAAAGAAGTTCCGGAGTTGAAGGTGGGGATGAAGGTGTACATAGAGGGGGACAATATCGAGACGGACAGGCCTTCGAAGAAGATGAGCGACAAGAGATTGGGGCCATACGAGATACTGGAGAAGGTTGGAGCGGCTGCATGGAAGCTGAATTTGCCGGACACGGACCGAAGACACCCGGTGTTCAACGAGTCACTGTTGACACCCTATCACGAACCACCCCCCCATCGCCGAGAGAAGAGACCCGTGGCCAAGATGATCGGAGGAGCAGAGGAGTGGGAAGTCGAAGAAATCGTGAAAGAGCGAAAAGTCGGCCGAGGAAAACAGTACTTGGTCAAATGGAAGGGATGGCCGCACAGTGAGAACACCTGGGAACCATCACGTCACCTTACCCACGCGAAAGACGTCCTGAGAGACTGGCAGAGGAAACAATCAAATCCAGACACACGCATTCGCCTCCTGCCAACGCTCGAAGCTGGACACTGGGACTATCTCATTCATCGCTACAAGCCCAGGGACGAGCGCCTTCCATACCCCCAACGACAGCTCTTCGACCCTTACGAGAACGTCTTCTTACCCATTGGCCTAGTCGATGAGGACATCGACCCTAGAGAGGGGGTAATGTCATAGTTCGGCCACTTTTTCATCTTATCATCGACGATCTTATCTTATCTTGGCACGACTTATCTTATCACGGATCACGGCATCAGACGGTCCGGACTAGGGGTTACAGGGATTATCTTCATCGATTCGAGGCTGCGCGACATATGCTCCGGAAGGTTCTAGTACAACCCATGACCAGCGTTCCATGCGGTACATAGTCTTATGACTCATTAGTTGTAGATATGACTCAGACTGGATTTGGGTATAAATACTGTAGCTACCTGGTTGTATTCTCCAGTCTTCGAATTCACTTCTCTTTTCGACTTGTTTCTGGGTTGATTGTCACATATGGTCTGCAGCTAAAGATATTTGATTCCCTTGTGCTTTAGCAGAGCCTGGGATATTGAAAACATGCAATAGCACCTGTATAATCTGTCTATGTAGGGTCAAATACAAGTTATAACTTGGTACATTTGGGCATGGTCTGCTCAAGCTATTAGGTCGAATTTAATGTTTGAAAAATGCGCAACTTGATTTGTTTGGCAAATCCCCCAAGGGAGTTTTCCATGTGCAGCCAAATTGATCGCCAGGAATAGCTACTGCTCCTTGTCCCTGTCTGTTTGCTTCCAATAGTCTGTCTGCTCCCAAATCTTCCTCTCCATTTTCAGGATATCTGATACAGGTGTTAGGATTGTTGATTGATGGATTTCATATTCCTTGTCTACACACCATTTAGACACTTTAATGGATGTGATAATACTGTGAACACTAACAATTGATTAGGCAGCACTTTTGTCCATCCAATCCTTGCAGGGGCTGGGGCAGGGTTGATGGTGGGGGCTGCCGCGGGGGCTGCTGCGGGGGGTGCTGCGGGGGGTGCCCAAGCCTCTGCCAGCCTACCCAATGTGGATCAACTACAGGATCACTTTCCAAAGCTTCTGTACTGCAACCCGAGTGACTTCCAGGTTACCTTTACCCAATTCCAGTGACACAACTTGCCTGCTCTTGTTTCTGGCCGACAATTGATTTTATAAGCTTGAGTGTGTATGTGCACTTTTTGGTGGGAAAGGAGGCCATTTGGTGAGGGGCAGGGCACCGAAACATTGTCAAATACCACATTAAACATGACCAGTGGCTTACATCTCTTCAAACTGGCCCCTATCTCATGTTTATCAAGACCCTATTTTTCGGACCCATTTCAAGTTTTTGAATGGTTCCAGGGTCCAGGGCTCTCAGAATTTGTTTCAGACACTGCCAAGGGGTATATCATTCAGCTGTATTGAGTTGTTCATTTGTAGAAAATATATTTTTTGCAATACCCAAAGTGAACTATGTTGAACCATTATCTATGTAGGAACCTTGAGCAACTGTGAACTGTTTTCATGTTTCGAATTTTGGATGGACAAATGATATGAAATACCTACATATTCAACAAGAACAGCATAGGGAGACCTTATTCCGATGGTTTTCAGCTGCATAACTGTAGAAACAGTGTCAGAAGAGCAGGAAACACTTAGGTACGACGTTTATACAGGTTCTGATTGGCTGGTGACTTGACGTGTTCCGAGCTGTCAGATTATGTAATCTTACATATGAGAAGATGGCAGGGGCAAGGCACCGGTGCAGCGGGGGGTGTGGCAGGGGGTGTCAGCCTGGCGGGGGTGCATGCGGGGGTGCAGTGGGGGGTGCCAGTTTGGCGGGGGGTGCCTGCAGGGGTGCCAGTGGGGGTGCAGGTAGAGTTGCAGGCAGTGAGTTATGGCAAGAACGTATACAGTCCCAGTAGCAAAAGCAATCATGTATGTTTCTGCAGTTTGTCTTGCAAGTATCCAAGCTCTAAGTGGAAAGAATTTTGTATATGAAATCTGAATTCATGCTCAATCTCTGGCTATTGTGAGACAACTTATTAGTGAGTTAGTTCATCCTCTTATATACGACCCAGGAATGAATTGAGGGCATGTCAAATCTGCTATGTTCCATCTGTTCATGTTGCAGCTTGAGAAAATCATTTGCAAAGCATCACAGAACTTCTGATTTTCAATGAGTCCCAGTCAGGAAGTGAGACATTCAATGTGTACTTGACATGTGGTACAATGTGCCGCAGGGTAAGATTACACTGTGCTAACAGTGTGAACAATTGACTAATAGCCATGTATGTAGAATGAGCGCACCAAAAAATCAATGAGATGACAGTGGACCCAGTGCAGCCAACCTACCCACCCTGCCGGTCAACACATGAACAAATCATAACTTGTATTTGACCCTACATAAACAGATTATACAGGTGCTATTGCATGTTTTCAATATCCCAGGCTCTGCTAAAGCACAAGGGAATCAAATATCTTTAGCTGCAGACCATACCAAGAAACCCCTGCCAAATTGAAGGATAATTATGTGACATTCTATGGCCATGGCCAGAATAGATACATCGAAATTTGATATAATGCACCCCTGCCCCTGCAGTAGACCTTGCAGTGGGCCCCGCATCTGACCCCTGCATCAATTTCAATGTCTTCCTATAAATTCCCAGTTGGCCTGTTGCCCTGCTCACCTCTACAAGATCTTCAATGAACAAAAATGGATCATAACAGACCAACCCTGGGGCAGCCCCCGCATCACCCCCCGCGGCACCCCCTGCGGCACCCCCCGCGGCACCCCCCGCGGCAGCCCCTGCGGCAGCCCCTGCGGCAGGCCCTGCCAAATGATGGGATCAAGTGTGTCACCAATCCCATTGTGCAGGGTGCATTTTGGTTTTTCTAAGCTCAAGTTCATGTTTAACTAGCCTATTTACCTATGGAAATTATACTGGGATGATTTGGGGAGTCTTCCATTTTTTTGGCGGAAAATCACGTGATTTTGCGCCCATTGTCTGCCACAGCATGCAATGTATCAAGCAGCATTTCCAAAATCATGCCAAATGCTGCAAAAAAGGCGCCCAAAAGTCACGTGATAATGCGCCCACTGCCCGCCATGGTGTGCGGGGGGGTGGTAGTGACCCCGCCAATGACGCCGCCAACCCCTGCCAGCATTTTGGTAATATTTGGTGCAGCGCATCACGTGATTTTTTTATCCCGCCATCCCGCCCATGCAGCGCGTCATGTGATTGGATTTTTTTTTCCCGCCCAGCTACCCGCTCTTATGGACAAGTCACATGCTACATACACCCCCCCTCCTCCTGACCCCCGCATATGCCCCCGCTACTAAATCGACTAAATGGCCCCCCCACCCCCCGCCAGGGGGTACCTACTGGGTACCCTCAGCAAGACGTCTGAGGGTACCCAGTAGGTACCCCGCGGGGGGAGAACCGCGTGATGGCGGTGGTAACTGAGGTGCTCAGATCACTCCAACGAGCTGCGCAACAGAAGTCGAGCTTCGACGCAAACTCCAAGATTGTCCGCTTTAGGATTGGCGATCTGGTACAGTGGTATGATTTAGAAGCGGACAACAACCGCCTCTCGGTGAACAAGCTAAAGCCACGCTGGTCGGCGCCAGTGCAGATCTATGCACAGCACCTAAATTCATTTTCGCTCTGCGACCTAGAAGGCAAACCGCTAGCAAACCTCCAGTTTGTACATTCGAGACGGCTACGACACTACATCCCGCTACGCGATTCTACCCTGGACCAGAAGCACCCGCGAGATGCGACAACACCAGACCCCACAACCCAGGACCTGGAGATCGCGGCGGCGGAGGAACGGATGGCAGAGGAGGCGTGGAGGTCGAGTCTCTAAAACCAGTGGGCAGCTGGGGTTGCGTCGGGCGAGTAGGGCCGCAACTGCGGAGCCCAATGCGTGGCGTTTCCATTGACGAGACGGGAGACATGTCCGAGGACGGACATCGCTTGAGGGGGGGCACCTGTGGCTGTGCCGGGAGTCTAGAGCCGGCGTTCCCTAGTTTAGAGCACACCTTAGTCATCATCATTCATTCATCTGATTCTCCCACCTCCCGGGCATCTGCTGGCACCTGGCGTGGGTCCTAGTTCACACGCACATTCCGGAGACGACTCCAACGCTTTGGCCAACCAAGCAATCTGGTTCAAAGACTCTGAGAGCTTCCGCCGGTAACGCCCTTCGCAGCTGAGCAACATGAAGAGCATTCCTCCTGGAGCACCACACTACGCTCAGGACGCAGACAAGCTGTGGGTCTTCCTCCAAGAGTCTCTTTCAGCTGATAAAAGAGCACAGCTGCAAGCCTCGGAGTTGACCAAATCCACGGCCCGAGCCATCATCTGACAGGGATCCAGACTCGCACCCCGTCGCCGTCCGTCCGTCCGTCCGCCCAGGCAGGATTCCGCGATAGCGTCGTCCACTCTGCCACGGAACGTCTTGTGCCGGGCCAAGGTCGAACCGTCTTCCGATATTTGACTTGATGGTGCCTGGTGGGCTTGATGCAGCGCGGCGCATCGACTCGACTCGGACCTGCTCGGCGAAAGTGCAGGGTGGGCGGACCACGAGCAACAGACGGCGCTCCTCGCGATGGATTTGTATCCCGCCTGGCACGCAGGAAACGTTGCCATATATGCTGCTTTTGGGTCGCAATTCGCAGGTCAGCGCGTCTGAGAAGTGTCTGAGATCTGGTGGCAACGCAGTCTGACGGAGAAGGGAAGGCATTGGCATCAGCGCTCACAGGCTCGGAGACCTGAGTCCTCAGGCACGTCTTCTGTCCTTGGTTTGATATGGCCGCTTCGGTGTTTCAGCCCAGTCCACGTCGCGTGATTACAGACGGAGAGAAACTTGGGCGTCAGCCAACATTGGTAGCAGGGAGACAACAAACACAAGCACGTGGAGAAACTGCAATTGCGTGCCAGCGACACAAGCCACGTGCCCGGGTTACTACGCAGCAGCCACATCTGATCACGTGAAGTTTTCACTGTTCAGTGTGGTGATTTCAAGTGTAGTGCTGTGTAAGATTCAGATTGTTAAATAACGATTCGATTTTCACATGTTATTTACATTGTATTTAACACATTTAACATGGAGGCCTGAAATTTGGATGTTAAATCCATGTTAGAAACCCTGAATGTGAGAAATGTGCTGTCATCTTTTCAAAGTAGCTCTCAGAGTCTCAGGAAAGTCCAAAGTGAAATCGGCAATTATTCATTGACATCATCATTGGAGATCCATTCGGGCCGTTGCCGTGCCGCAGCCACTACGTACTTTTCTCTCTCTGCGAGACATGGCTACGAGCGAGCAGTATGAAACCTTGGTTGGCCTTCAGCAGCGGTTCATCCCAATGACTGGGAGGTGGATGACTTCAATATCCTGTAGCGAACTATATAGCAGTTTTTCACATGTCTTCTCTGACATTTTTAACATGTATTTCACACATATTTAACATGTTACAATCAAAAAAAAATCTCGCGCTACGCGCGGTGACGTAATGTTAAATAATGTATTTTAACAGGCTAAAGTTATATAACCCGGAGGGCTTTGCCCTCCGTTGTTGACAACAGCCTCTGATTTGATTTTTACACAGCACTATTCAAGTGACTCGAACACGCTCGTCCGATCGTGTCAGATTGATACAGCCATGATATCCGAATCTACCGAGGACACGTGGAACCATGATATCCGGTGACACGTTATACATATCGACCTCAGAAAGTGATGCACCCGTGCAATGGAATAGAAGGAAGAAAAAGAGAGGGTATCGATGTGGGAGCCGGACAATCAGATCTGGCGCTTCATATTCTGCGTGAGCCAATCCAGCCCCTCATACATGCCCTCTCCCGTCGTCGCACACGTCGCCTAACACGCATCAGCCAACCCCGCAAGATCGCACTCAGCACGCAGACACGGACCTGGATATACCACTTGCGGCTGCGCAGGGTGTGCAGCGCGAGCTGGTCAGTCAGCTCCGCCGTGCTCATCGCGTGCGGCAGGTCCTGCTTGTTCGCGTAGACGAGCACGAGCGCGTCGCGCAGCTCGTCCTCGCCGAGCATCGCGTGCAGCTCGTCGCGCGCGATTCCGACGCGCTCGCGGTCGTTCGAGTCGACGACGAACACGAGCGCTTGTGTGTTCTGGTAGTCTGTGTTGCCATCGCGTCATTGAGCATCGGGGATACCGAGTCTGGGAAGGAGGAGAAAGCGGCGCACAATGTCTCCATAGAGGTCGGATCTTGTCCTGCCCGCCGACGTCCCAGACGTTGAATGAGATGTTCTTGTACTCAACAGACTCGACGTTGAACCCTGGGCAACCGTGAGCTCGGATGTCCGGTCAGTCAACTAGCGGGCTCACCAATTGTTGGGACCGTACGGACGACTTCTCCTAGTTTCAGTTTGAAGAGAATGGTCGTCTTTCCTGCTGCGTCGAGACCCAACTGCAAAAGAATAATAAAGACATCAGTCGATAACACTTATTTGTGCCATTTTCACGCGCACCATGAGGATTCCTGGAGGGTTGCCCCAAGGGTTAGCTAATGCGGTAAGTCGTAACAAAACAAACACATACGCATTTCCCGCATCCCGACAAGCCCGGAGAAGAGCTTTGAGATGTAAATACCCATTTTCTTCACTGTGCTTCAGTTGTATAAACTGTTGGATGCGGAGTGCGCCTTCGCGTTATAAGTGAGCGCCGAGTGCTGCGCGGGACACGTCACCCGACTCAGATGATACGGGACGACGTGTCGCTGAGAGACAAGTCATACTATGCACGACGTGTTCTGACTCGCATCGTCCACAAACAAACAGGGCTAAAGACCGTGAGAGCGCCGTTGTCGTCGAGTCACTTGGGATGTATCATGTCAGCGCCCGAGCTGACATTTGGCGCCTGTCCACTCTCGCCGATGGACTGGCTCTGCGTTGTTCGACACATCAAAGATCGTGAGACAGACAGCCTCTTCCAGTCGAGCCCTGTCACTCCGCGCGCTTCACCTATAGATCAAAGCAGTCCGAGATTAGGTTTCGCCACAGCCACAGCCACCCAGACGTCCGGATCAACAACAGCTCAAGAGATGGAGGGTCCACTTTCACACGCGAATGGTATCACATTACGTAACCTACATACAATACACATCGTCATCAGATAGAGCGCGAATCGGCCTCTCGATCTCTTTCTTCAATATATTCCGACTGGTGAGAGAGAGACCGTGTTTCCAGCGCAGATTCGACGTCGGATGGCGCTCGCAGGGCTGATGGGCCGCCATCAGGAGATGATGTCGCGAAATAATTCGGGGCTTTGGCCTCATCTACTGCGATGACTTGCGAGTGCCGGACAACTGTTGCTGGAGTGAGCCGCAATGAACGAAGGGTCGGCCAAAAAGAGACAAGGGACGCACAGGTTCCGGGGGAGGACAGAGCGCTGGTCATCGTGACAGAGACAGCGGGTTTGGTCCACGAAGCACCGGAGTGCGTCCCATCCCTATTGTCCGTTGCCGCGCTCTTCCTCGAGAGCAGATTATACAGGAGCGTGAGCGTGTAGAGCCGCCCGAGACAAAACCCGATTCCCACAGTCACGTTGCTCTCCTGCTTGACGAGGTACGTGATCAGCGTGATCGTCGCGAAGATGGAGGTGACGGTGCCGGTTTGCACGGCGTCGCGGATCAGGCGGCGGATCGCGCTCGAGGGAAACAGAAAGTCAGAGTGCGTCGAGGGAGGGTAGTCAGTGGAACAGGACACACGTTTTGGTGCGGTCGAACGCCGTTTCCCGCTGCATCCCCAGCAACTGGAACACAAGCTGTGGAAATAGTCAGTCGCGTGCAGGGTAGGCTGAAAGACTAACCTACTCCGAGGGCTATCCCGACATCGGCGCAGGTCGACGCAACAAGCCATACGCTGCCGCTCATCAGATGGCATCATGGATTGATCAAACCGGTCGTGACACACGTGACTGGGATGACAAGATACTCTCTTTCTTCGTACTGATTGTACTTGATCAACAGACCGGTCGTCACAGCGCATCCGACGAACTGGCGAAGCAGTCAGAGTCGAAAAGAACCAATGTGTGAAGAGGCCGCACCGCTGCGACAGTCGTGAAGAACAAGGGAATCGTCGTGTACCATAATCGCGCGCTTTGAGATGGTAAGAATTGATTCTGTAGACATTCGATGGATTGGGACCCACGCTTTCCAGTATCGGAAGAGTAGATACAATTCAACGATAACTGCCGTGACACCCGTTGTGATCACATAGAGAAATATAGGCCAATACTGTGCCAAAACGTCAGCTGGTTTTCTCGTGCTTACAGGTGACCAGACGGGCCTCGTTTTCCAGATATGATCGGTCGCCTGCGCAATTGACGATTCAGCCACGATGAGACCAGCCAACGGAAGAGAAATCACCCCAATGAGCCACGCAGTACTTCACACGGGTCAAAGTCAGCCATAGCTCCAAACGACATGCACAGGCGCGCACGCACCAAGTACGCCGCACCGCAATTGGCCGCCACGGATACAGAGTCGACCGCCAGACATACAGCGACCGTCGCCTTGAAGAGCCACCGGTCGTGCCAGTACGTCGAGAAGTACCGCCACGCGTACATCACTTCGATCGCGAAGAGCGCCGTGTTGGCCCACGAGCCGATCACGAGCGAGCTGGGGTGTCCGAGGGTCAGTATCGTCGAGCAGGGCAGCTGCTAGCGCGTGGGACGACTCACCCGATGAGTTCTCCGAGCGTGATCATAACAGAGGCTGAGGAGCAGAGCAAGGAGTGGAGGACCCCCTTTCCCATCGAGGGATGCTATATGTACCCGCCCTAACCCATGTCTTAGTCTCACATATTCCATCCGCGGCGGATCCTGTCAGGCCAGCCGGATCCATGTCTCACTGCGCCGTAGCATGCGTGAGTTGCGGGTCCACTGGTATGATACAGTTCATCGTCGCCAGCGCAGAGGGAACACCGTCGCGAGGAGGTCGAAGACAGATGTCAGTTTTTGGCCTGGAGCCGTCTCAAGTTGGTCTCAAGGGTATGTACCGCGAACACGTAGACCACGTGCCATTACAAAATTTAAACTCCGAGGCAGTTCCCCTCAAGACAGCTTGATCAATTCCGGCTAGTAGTAGTAGGTCTCAGTGCGTCTCTGATCTCAATCCCGACGTCTGGGACGCGGATGGGAAATCCACCCGCAGTCATGCCCTTACCTCCCGAGCTCGAGCTCCAGATCGTCAAAACACTCGCACTGGCATGCCCCTCCGAGATCCCTCGTCTGGTACTCGTCGCCCGTCGCTTCCACGTCTGGTCAGTCGCACGCACCGTTTCCACTTCCTGCTCCTCTCCACGTCGCAGTAGCTTAACGATCAGGTCAGGCTGCAGGGCTTGCTCTACCGCACCATCGTCAATGACCCGGAATGCGACATCGAGGGTCTGCCCGTCCTCAACCGCGACGTCGCCATCTCCATGGTCGGCGGTCCAGCGCGCGCCAGATACCTGCGGCACACGCGCAACCTCTTCGTCCACCTCTGCGAAGAGCGCGCGACTGGGGCCCGGTCGTGGCGGCGTGTCCCGCCGTGCGCAACGTGTACCTCGGCTGCAACACGGTGGCGGGCTACCGCGCCCTGCTCGCCGGCCTGGCGCACCTCGAGCAGCTGCACTGCGGCTCGTTCGATCTGCCGTGGGACGCAAATACGCACACGCACGCGCACACGCACGTGCTCGGGGCGCTCACGCACCTCGAGCTGTTCGACCGCCGGACGGTGCCCCCCGCCGAGACGCGCGTCCTCGCGCGCATGTGCCCCCGGCTCACGCATCTCGCCGTGAACGACCACTTCCCGGAGCTCTCCGAATGCGAGGCGATCTCCAAGACGTGTCCCGTGCTGGAGGCCCTGGTCCTGATATGGCCGATGGAGTCAGAGGCGGAGGAGCTGGAGGGGGGTGACTTGCTTGGGGAGGACGTGGCGGTCGGCCGCGCGGATGTGCGGGCCGTTGTTGCCCTTCTGCCGCATGCGTGTTGAAAGAGATTGGCAGCAGGGATGCCTGACGGGGAGGGACTTTTGGAGCGCAGCGGATGAGTTCATCGCACTGCGGAGATCGGGTGGAGTGGACGGTGAGCTTTCGCTGCTGCTGCTGCTGCCTCAGACATCAAGCTCAGCAGCTATTCCAGCCGATTCTTTCATTGTACCGTATGGTTGATAGAGTTGTAGGTTCTCTGCTCACATCGGAGCTACATGAAACTCTGAAATAGCCACACGACTCCCCAGCCGTGCTTTCGATGCGTTACCTTGGGCGAAACACTCGATCCATCCATCCAACGGCCTGTCTAACTAGTTTCGACTACTGCATCGAGCTGCCGTGGCGCTGCTTCCAGGTCGGGAACTGTGACGGGCGCCTGAGGGATGCTGACGGAAAACCTCGGGATCTTTTCTGGCTCATCTACCATGACGTGCTGCGACCGCTGGACGACTGTGCCCCAATCAATGCCAACACCAGACTGCAGCAGATGGAACTCGAACTTACATATGCCAGATGAGGAGAGCATGCTGTTGGTCAAAGCCGGGACACTGCCGGTCGAATACCGTTGGCTGCGGCCGCCGGCCATCACCGCCTTTCTAGAGAGCAGGTTGTACAGAAGCGTGAGCGTGTAGAACCGCCCGAGGCAGAACCCGATGCCGACAGTCACGTTGCTTTCCTGATCGGTCAGGTACGTGATGAGGACGGCGAGCGCGACAATCGAGGTCAGCGTGCCGGTTTTGAGAGCGTCCCGGATGAGCCGGCGGATTGTGCTGGGAAAGGGATCAGGCGAATCCCAACAGCGGCGAGACCTGACTAGACCTCTTGGTGTGAGTGAATGTGGTTCCCTTGTGCATGGACATGAGTTGGAGTATGAGCTACTATTGGGTCAGTTCCCGGAGTATTGCATGCTAGTAACAAACGACGGGCTGATCTTACCACAGTCGCGATCCCCACGTCGGCAAAGGCGGTCGCGACCAGCCAGATGCTGCTTCGTGTTCAATGGCTCTGGCATAGGACCACAGTATCCTTACTTACGTGACGGGGATGATGATGTCGTCCCTGTCTTCATAGTTTGAATTCTTGGTCAGGATCGCCGTCGTGATGATGCATCCAATGAGCTGAGATGGTGGTTAGCATACATCGACCTCATGGGTTAGAGCTCGGTCGCACCGCTGCCATGGTGGAGGAGAGCAAGAGTGCGGTGGTGGACCACATCCGCGAGCTTTTTGAGCGGTCAGCACGTCGTCTCCTGGCGCTGAGCGAGTTGTAATAACGCACGCTCTCCAGTATCTGTATATCAGGTACAGCTCGACCACGACCGCGGAGACGCCGGTCGTAACCACGTAGGTGAAGATGGGCCAGTACTGGGATCGAGATTCCATCGGTCTGTCGAGTTATTCGGATGAGGAGACTGCGACGCACCTCGCGTAGTAGATATATGCGGTCGCCTGGAGCAAGGATGGGTAACGAGTATCACAGACAAAGAGTGGCAGATTACCCCAATGCGTAACGCAATACTGGGATCCCCGTAGTTAAGACTACAGAGTCCTCGACAGAAGACAAGCACGCACCAAGTACACACTCGCATAATGGCCCGCGACCGACAAAGCGTCAACCGCTA